TGTCCTTGTTTTGGGGGACAATTGGATTGATATTTTATCACCCTTTTGCCCCCCCCCCCTCCTAGTTTAAATACATCCTAGCAAAACCTCTGAACTGCTCACTGAGAACATTTGTTTATTATCTTATAATTACCAACAGGAATTCAAACCTTGTGCAATCAGTAACCTTTTCCTACAGATGAATCTTACCTGTAACAGTAGAAAAGAAAGCTCTTAGCACAACTCTTAGACAGTTGAAGCTTCTGTAAAACTCTCCAGAATATCTCCAACTAGACACTTAGAAACAGCACTTAGAAGTAGCACCAAGCTATATTAGACAAGCTAATGACACCAAGCCTTATATAACTCCTGCAATCACCACCCACTAGGAATGTTTAACACCTGGGTAGGCCTCTGCTTATTTGCAAACAATAGCTAATTAACTAGCAATCAATAGCAAGTAACTAGCTTAATCAAATCAAATGCCTTATAATTACCAACAGGAATTCAAACGTTGTGCAATCAGTAATCTTTTCCTACAGATGAATCTTACCTGTAACAGTAGAAAGGAAAGCTCTTAGCACAACTCTTAGACAGTTGAAGCTTCTGTAAAACTCTCCAGAATATCTCCAACTAGACACTTAGAAACAGCACTTAGAAGTAGCACCAAGCTATATTATTGCATGTGAATGACGGTGTATTTGTGTAGAGTGCTACTATGTGAATATAGTGGTGTGTTTTTATAGAGTGTCAGTGTGTGCATGCTTAAACATATTTGTGTGAAGCTGTTGTTTGCATGTATAGGTATTTCATCTGCCCCTTTTTTTTATCTCTCTCCACTCCCTCTACTAAATCATCTCGCCCTCACATGTGTTCCTCTCCCCCTTTCCTTAATTAGGTCCCTCTCCCTATAACACTCCCTTTCATCCCTTAAAATACCTGTTCCACTCTTCTGTCACCCCCCAGCTCACACAATTCTTCTCCTCTTTTCCTCCCCAGTAGGCGGCCGATGGTCTTGCTGGGCAATGACGCTGATGCCATCAAAACACAATCACCTGCAGTTCCTTCAGTTGCTAAATGGAAGTCAGGATCTGCTAATGTGGATGCCGGGTGAGAAGGGAAAAAAGCTCTTTGAGAAAGCTATTCTTCTTCTCACTAAAGCACTCCTACATTACCACTATCAATCCAGGGTTCCAGCAATGCCTCCCCATTCCGGTGTGCCGCCCGAGGCCATAGCCTTATGGGAAATCCAGCTATGGGTCTTAGATACAGTGCCTTGCAGAAGCATTCACCCCCTTGACTTTTTCCCTATTTTGTTACATTACAGCTTAAGTTCAATGTTTTATTAATCTGAATTTTATGTGATGGATCAGAACACAATAGTCTAAGTTGGTGAAGCGAAATGAGAAAAATAGATACATAAAACAATTTTTTAGAAATAGAAAACAGAAAATTGTCATGTGCGTATGTATTAACCCCCTTTGTTATGAAGCCCATAAAAAGCTCTGGTGCAACCAATTACCTTCAGAATTCACATAATTAGTGAATTGATGTCCACCTGTGTGCAATCTAAGTGTCACATGATCTGTCATTACATATACACACCTTTTTTGAAAGGCCCCAGAGGCTGCAGCACCTAAGTAAGAGGCACCAATAACCAAACACTGCCATGAAGACCAATGCTCCAAACAAGTAAGGGACAATGTTGTTGAGAAGTACAAGTCAGGGTTAGGTTATAAAAAAACATCCAAATCTTTGATGATCCCCAGGAGCACCATCAAATCTATCATAACCAAATGGAAAGAACGTGGCACAACAGCAAACCTGCCAAGAAACAGCCGCCCACCAAAACTCACAGACCAGGCAAGGAGGGCATTAATCAGAGAGGCAGTACAGAGACCTATGGTAACCCTGGAGGAGCTGCAGAGTTCCACAGCAGAGACTGGAGTATCTGTACATAGGACGACAATAAGCCGTACGCTCCATAGAGTTGGGCTTTATGGCAGAGTGGCCAGAAGAAAGCCATTACTTTCAACAAAAAAAACAAAATGGCACGTTTTGAGTTTGCGAAAAAGGCATGTGGGAGACTCCCAAAATGTATGGAGGAAGGGCTCTGGTCTGATGAGACTAAAATTGAACTTTTCAGCCATCAAAGAAAACGCTATGTCTGGCGCAAACCCAACACATCACATCACCCAAACAGCACCATCACAGTGACACATGGTGGTGGCAGCATCGTGCTGTGGGGATGTTTTTCAGCAGCCGGGACTGGGAAACTGGTCAGAGTTGAGGGAAAGATGGATGGTGCTAAATACAGGGATATACTTGAGCAAAACCTGTACCACTCTGTGCATGATTTGAGGCTAGGACGGAGGTTCACCTTCCAGCAGGACAATGACCCCAAACACACTGCTAAAGCAACACTTGAGTGGTTTAAGGGGAAACATGTAAATGTGTTGGAATGGCCTAGTCAAAGCCCAGACCTCAATCCAATAGAAAATCTGTGGTCAGACTTAAAGATTGCTGTTCACAAGCGCAAACCATCCAAGTTGAAGGAGCTGGAGCAGTTTTGCAAGGAGGTATGGGCAAAAATCCCAGTGGTAACATGTGGCAAGCTCATAGAGACTTATCCAAAGCGACTTGGAGCTGTGATTGCCGCAAAAGGAGGCTCTACAAAGTATTGACTTTAGGGGGGTGAATAGTTATGCACATTGACCTTTTCTGTTATTTTGTCCTATTTGTTGTTTGCTTCACAATAAAAAAAAAAACATCGTCAAACTTTTGGCATGTTCTGTAAATTAAATGATGCAAATCCTCAAACAATCCATGCTAATTCCAGGTTGTGAGGCAACAAAACACAAAAAATGCCATGGGGGTGAATACTTTTGCAAGGCACTGTAACTGTTATCAATGCAAGTTGTGGATAGAACCTTTATATTATACTGAATATTGTCTCATTCAATACAATACAATCAGTTTCACACTATACAATTAATTAATTATGATGAGACCAAGCTCAAAGACAACAAGAAAACTAAAATAATTAAGCTATATTTAAGTATAGAAAATGAGAATGTCTGCTATTTGCTAAGTACAAAGAATATTATTTTAAACTTCTGGTATTAAAATGTAGATGTGAATTTTTAATCTGATGTTTATTTATCTCCTATATTTGACAAATATTTTTTGTGAAGTATGAAAAAGGAAAATGAAATGTATAAATCTACTCTTTATCCTGACACTGACTGGGTGCCTCTGTCTTAGCTCTGTCAGTCATTGTTATAAGCTCTGTCCTTTATACCTGGAAGTTGTCGTATACAGATAAATAAAGCAATGGTTTTCTTTCTCCTGCTCATTGGGCAATATTTGACCTGGCTGTACCGGATTGTGATGTCATTTGCTGCATCTTAATCTTAAATATTAATCTATAAGAAAACAAAGTATCATATGAAAAATAACACAACACACGTTATAGGCATTGTTCCCTCTAAGTCCTGCGCGTTGACCAAGTTAATACCTTCACTGAGTGCTACAGTCCAGAACAATGTCATAACAACTGACACCATCATGTCATCAAAATGTCATTTATGGATCAATTTAGCCAATCCATTCACTCTTGATTTCAAACTCACTGAAGACAAGTTCCCTTTAAATTGGAAAAGAACACATCAGACCTTCAAATTAGGCATGTGCATGGGGAAAATTTTCGATTCGGTTCGGCCTTCCGAAATTCAGGACTTTCGCATTTTTGGGAATTCGGTACTTCAACACTTCGGAACTTCGGCAACTTCGGCACTTCAACACTTCGGAACTTTGGAATTTCAGAACTTCGACATTTCAGAATTTCGGGACTTCTCTTGCAGCCTTATTCCCACGGTATTAGGGAGTTATCTACCAAAAGGCTGAAAGACCTAAATTGGTCTTTCAGCCAAATTTACTAATACTAATACTATGTAAAAATTACTTAGTATTAGTAAATTATGCCCCTACTCGCTATACCTAAATTGGAATAAGGGGGGATGTCCTCCCCCCTGGCCCTCACCCCTGAGTGGTGGGTGGGGGCCCTACAGTAAAATAAGGGGGGGACCTAATGTCCTCCCCACTGGCCCCCACCCCTGAGTGGTGGGTGGGGACCCTAAATACTAAAAAAGGGGGGGACCTAATGTCCTCCCTCTGGCCCCCACCCCTGAGCGGCGGGTGGGGGCCCTAAATTGGAAAGGGGTGGACCTAATGTCCTCCCCCCTGGCCCCCACCCCTGAGCGGCGGGTGGGGGCCCTAAATTGGAATAAGGGGAGGGACCTAATGTCCTCCCCCCTGCCCCCCACCCCTGAGCAGCGGGTGGGGGGCCCTAAATACCAACAGGGGGGGCCTATTGCCGCTCAGGGGTGGGGGCCCTAAAAAAAAACAATGTTAACCCCCCCTCCCAGGTGACTAGGGGTCCCCAACCCCCTAGTCACCCCCTCCCCCCCAAAAAAAAATTAGCTCCCTACCTACCCCCCTCACCCTAAAAATAACGAGCGGGGGACCTTTAACTAAGTCTCTTCATTTACCTGTCAGAGCACTCTGATTGGATGGCTTAAACGCCAGGTGAAGATGGATTATTAGTTTTTTTGCGCTCGTTTTTTTTTTTTAAGTGCGTTGGTTATTAATGCTTTTTATTTGGCCTTTTTTGGGGCTGAAAAAATTTTAGAAGAAAGAAAACATCAAATGGTAAGTTTAATTTTTTTTTCAGGTACTTAGTTAAATGGTCCCCCCTCATTATTTTTAGGGTGAGGGGGTCGGAAGGGGTTAATTGTTTTCGGGAGAGGGGCGTGGTTCCGGCTCTGACCAAGATGGCCGCATAAGGAGAGAGCTCCGCTCCACCGGACCCCATTAAAGCAATTTATCCGTTATACCTTTAGCTTCATGGGGCGCACAAAATGCCTACAGCACCCCCAAACCCCAAGGAACCCCCAACATGGCCCACTGGACGGATTCTTGCAGCCGCAATCCAGAGCGGGCTGGAGACAGGAGGCCCCAAAATGGCGGCGGCATCCGCATCAGGGTCGGAGAACATGGCCCTTGAAATAATTGAAGACAAACTAAGGGACCTAACGACTTCCATGGTAACAGGGGTTGATCTTCAGACACTTACAGCCACCATACAAGAAACAATGCGAACGGAGGTGGCGGGGATCCGCATGGAGGTAGCTGAGCAAGCAGGCCGAATTACCGCGACGGAGGAGGCGATCGCGGCCCTCACGACCCATGTGGCATCCACTGACACAGCGGTGACACGCCAAGGCGAGATGCTGCTCTCCTTGCATCGGCATCTTGAAGATGTGGATAATAGGGGCAGGAGATGCAATATCCGCGTACACGGAGTACCAGAAACAGAAGGAGAAGAAAACGCCGAAAAGGTACTTACGGAACTCTTCTAATCCCTCTTACAGCCGTCACCACCGCAACGCATAGAATTTGAGAGGGCACACAGAGCTCTATGGCCAGGAGCTTTGGAGGATGGACCGACAGATCTCATCTACTGTCTACACTCCTTCCCAGTAAAGAACACTATCATGACAAAAGCTCGAGACCGGCCCTTTCGAGGGGCCAAAGTCTCACTGTATAATGACCTGTCCCCCATTACACTGGAGGCCCGACGGGCACGTCGCCCTGTGATGACGACGCTGAGAGACCACAATATAACATACAAATGGGGATTCCCCTTTGCTTTATTGGCCAGACACCACAATAGCTGGATCACCATGCGATGGCAGGAGGAGGTGCCGTGGTTTATGGGAGAATTGGGTCTCCCCTCACCATCAGTCCCCAACTGGATCCTGGGATCATTGGGCCCACCACCGAGATCGCAGAGATGGCCCAGGCGATGTGATGTGAGACCCCTTCCGACCCACCACACCGGAAGACGCGGCGACCCGACATCCCCCACATGCTCACCCACGTCGGCGGCCGTCATCCTGGATCCCTGAGCGGTTCACCTACCTTGTTACCCAGGGGGACAAACACACAATGCCGACCCTGGCAAGAGATACCCCGATATACAGACACCAGAGATTCCCATCTACACCCGCAGGAGCGGTATACAATACCCCGACAGGTACATTGGGATGACACACAGGGGTTTTGGGTGTGGGGAGCACGGGCGAGCAGGTACACGAAGGGGGTCCACACACCCATTGGGTCACTACCTCGGGTCTGTGATTATTTCCCTGTTGCCGGAATAACGGGCATGTGCCTTAACGTGGGGTGGGAGGCTTCTGGGGGAAGCTACGGGGAACTCAATGGCCTCTCTGGATTTCTGAGGTCTCTGTCGGGGCCATGTGCTGGTATACTGCAATGTGGACAGTGACACCACTTTAAATCCGGCTGACCGGGACATATTTACCCCTACACGCAAAGGCCTCAAATCGATGAGGGGGGGGTTGGAGAAGGGGGAACATAACATTGATTATTAATGATGGAGTAGTTTGCCCCCCCCCCCTCCGCCTCGCTCTACCCTACACCCTGGCGACACCTCAGGGTTAATGCATGTACGATATTTACTATTGTGTGTCTTGATCTGTGTACTTGGGATGTGGGGATTGGGAATATGTTAGCAGGCACACGATGGGCCCCCACAACGAAATACCTTTGGTCCGTCAACTTAGAGAAGGTTCACTCAGAACAAAATAGTATTACCCTACATGACCTAAGTCTCGCCAACTGACGCCACATCAGTACAACTAGTTAGACATGTGAATCGACACACACACACCATTGAGTCTAGATTCACCCCACACTACATAGTAATACACACACGGCCAACACACTAGCGATCCCACCTGTACACACGCTATTATGGCTTCACCCATACACACACTTCTCATTGGCACTACAACGATGTGAATTAGAGCACACAATCCAAATATTATTGCCAACACCAAGTGCAAAAGTTACTCGGACCAGAGGAACGAAGGGTAGGTCCACGATGGGGCAGGGGATCGCAATACAGGGAACTACATTATCAGTAGGCCAGGGGGTAATGATACCTATTAAGATAGAGAACGAAGGACAGGGAGGTGCCGTGTGGAAAGGGCCAAGGATGTTCGGAGGCCCGCTGTTTGGGGGGGAAATTGGGTAATGACGGGAACTACTGGAAAAATACTACCATAATAGATTTGCTGAAGGTGAAACGTGATATCTAGAGATTGATGTACTGTATATCCTGGCAATGCTTGCGCCCAATACACAAGTTGTTTTTGATTGTTTAACATTAGTTTTGAGGGGTGAGGTGGAGCGGGCGGTTCCACGTTTATTTTTTGTTTTTTTACTTGGGCGGAGCTCGAGTCATGCTTCCCAACCATATACACTCGTGCTGAAAGTTGAGCGGCCAGGCTGTGGGTACCCTCGACTCCTGTGCTGGCACCGGAGCGAGCCCCTACTGGTGCTGGTTGCTGCACGAGACCCCCCCTCTCCTTCAGAGGGGGCTTAGAATCGGGACAAAACCGAAATCTGTGAGGACACCCACACACAGGGTACGCTCCTCCTCTTAAATATCACACCACTTAGCTGGCCCCGCCTCCCGAGAACCCGGGCCCTGCTCTCTCTACTTACACTTTCTGCTACCTTTCTCCCTTCCTTTTTCTCTCCCTCCCGTTTCCTCCCCCCCATCTCTCCTCTGCCCCCCCCCTCCACACTGGGTTGACCCGATCCGCGGACGCGTGACCACCAGAGGGCAGGGAGGGCCCAGACCCCCCATGATTCTAAAGTTGAACTCCGGATACATAGAAGGTATGGCCTACCGAAGCACACCCCTGAAGATTATTACACAGAACTGCAGAGGACTCAACATTCCTGAACGCAGGACGCACCTGCTGAGGGAATTGAGGAAAAAACATGTGGCGGTAGCTATGCTACAGGAGATCCACTTCAAGGAAGGGGCAGCCCCCAGACTACAGAAGAGACACTACCCGAATAACTATTTCTGTAGTCATCCAACGGCCCACAAATCCAGAGTTGCCATAATATTAGCGGTGGAGTTTGGAATTTAGGGAATTAGACCGTATACAGGACCCACAAGGGAGATATCTCTTCCTCAAGGGCATCATAGCAGACAGGATATATACAATGGCGACCATCTATGTTCCAAACCGGAGACAAGCTTCCTTCCTCCGAAACACCCTGCATCTACTGGAAGACTTCACAGATGGGATTTTACTTGTAGGAGGAGACTTTAACGCCCCGCTCGACCCGACATTGGACTCATCAACGGGTCATAGCGGCCTCCCGCAACGCAGCATCAGATCCATTCGGCAATCAATGGAGGCCCTGAGACTGGTCAACTGTTGGAGAACGCTCCACCATTACTATTGCGCTCTCCACAATCGCTATTCTCGCATAGACTACCTTTTCATCACACAGGAAGATCTCTCATATTTATTTAAGGCTGAGATCACACTGGCTACATGGTCCGACCATGGCTCGTCGAGATGGAATTGGACTCCTCATTGTTCAGGCCGGTGGCCTGGACATGGAGACTCAATGAGGCATTGCTATTAGACCCCGACACCAAGGAACAAATTAACTGAGAACTAGAGCACTACTTTAGAGAAAATGACATTCTGGAGACCTCCTCAATATCTGTGTGGGAAGCCCACAAGAGTGTAATCCGCGGTACACTCATACGCATCGCTTCGCAGAAATGGAAGGCGGTTATGATTGAAATTACCAATTAATATCAATCAATCTCGGCCCTGGAGCGTCAACACAAGCAATCCCAGCTAGATATTGTCTATGGAGCATTAATGGAACACAGAAGGAAACTCAAAGACCTTATTATGAAAAGACATCTCCGAACTATACAGCGCACGAAAGGCTTTTACTATGTACATGCTAATAAAGGAGGTAAGTATTTGGCGAGACTACTGAAGGGCCCCATGCCCCTCAAGCAAATTCATAAATTACATCTGGCCTCAGGGGAGGTGACACCCTTCCCCCAGAGGATTGCGGAAGAATTCAGGACTTTTTATGAGACCCTCTATAATTTGCATACACCTAATGGGAATACCGAAGCCACCATTGCCCACGCAAGGATGCAGGACTACCTAACCGAAATGATTACAAACAAGATCGACCAGGACTCAGTATCAGCACTGGACATACCAATCAGTACAGAAGAATTAGCCGCGGCTCTTAAGGCTTTCAAACCCAGTAAAGCCCCAGGCCCAGATGGCTTCTCCACGGGCTACTATAAGAACTTATCTGGATTGCTCCTGGCTTGGTTGACCAGGGCACTCAATGCTGTGGGGGAAGGGGAGAACCTGGGATCGGAGTCCCTGGCAGCCACCATTACAGTATTACTTAAACCAGGGAAAGACCCTTTGACGTGCGGCAGCTACCGGACGATCTCGTTGCTTAATGTGGATGCCAAATTGTTTACGAAAGTCCTGGCAACTGGGCTTAAACATCACCTCCCGGATTTGATCCACGCAGACCAGACAGGATTCATCCCAGGTCAAGAGGCCAGAGACAGCACCCTACGACTATTTTCCATTCAACACCATGCAAGGAGGGCGGGGACCCGTTACTACTACTAAGCTTTTGACCGGGTCAACTGGACATACATGACGGCAACGTTAAGACAGATGGGATGCCGATGGAAACTCCTCACATGGATAGCTGCTCTATACAGGGGACAGGGATGCCCTCTTTTGCCGTTGCTGTTCGCGATGACCCTGGAGCCATTGTTGCAAGCAATCCGCCAGAACCCTAATATACAGGGATACGATTGGCAAGGGGTGCAGCAGAAGGTGGCCACTTAGGCAGATGACCTCCTTTTTATTGTACGCAATCCCAGAACTACATTGCCATGTCTCCTCTCAGAATTTGAAAAATTCAGACAGATGTCCGGATTCAAGCTTAACCTCTCGAAATGCGAGGTCATGAACATCACACTCCCCACAGAGGAATTCCTGTCACTAAAATCACTATTCCCATTCCACTGGTGTCATGGCAAGATGAAATACCTGGGCATATGGATGACTACGGATCTGGGTAATATGCAGCGCTACCACACAAAGATTGCTTACACAGAGACCTCACATGGTTTGAGGACCTCTGTGAGCGAGGTGCCCCGATAGAACACACAATTTCAGCCCTCTATCAACACCTGTTAACTGGCGGTATTGTTTTACTGGCACTATAGGGTCTTTGGGTCCCCTCCACCCTCTGTGCTGGGGACTCTCCTCCCTCTTCCGTCGTCATCCACTGAATGCTCATGTGCGGCAAGAGCCGCGCGCGCATTCAGTCAGTCCATAGGAAAGCATTACTCAATGCTTTCCTATGGACTCAGTGTCTTCTCACTGTGATTTTCACAGTGAGAAGCGCGGAAGCGCCTCTAGCGACTGTCAATGAGACAGCCACTAGAGGCTGGATTAACCCT